AGTAATCTAAGGTTCTATCTGAAACTCAAATCACGTGATTAAATAACTGTTGGATGTTACTAGGTTGTTAGGATATTAATCGTATTTAAAACTATTGCCTCGTATAAGGTTGAGCCTGGTGATATTAACCTTCTATAGCATCATCATTGGAAAGAGTAACATTTGTCAGCTTGGTATATAATAACATGGCATGCATACATTACAAGAAGTGCTTACATCCAAATTGTATACAAACCTCATTTTCTACCAGGGTAAAAATTCATAACATCTTAGTTAGGAGTTATTTCCTGTCTATGCAATTTCTTTTCTAGGTCAATGTGGTCCCCAAGGAGTATCCAGTCGAGATGGATTGAGCGAGAGTCGGTTGATGGATCTCCTGCATGGTTCGGAGAATGTACTGACCTATGAAGATAAAGACGGTGACTGGATGCTGGTTGGTGATGTTCCATGGAAGTAAGTGTCATTCTGAACTCAGTAGTTCCTGGAGATCACAAGAAAATTGTCTAATATGAATTAACCCGAGTTTTCTTTTCTAGTTATTATATGATACATGTTCAAAAATATCAATATATAGGATGTCATGGCTAGAGATGAGGTGTTGCTGATCAATAATTAGATAAGAAAGATCTTCAATGAGAAAATTGATAAATACTGAAGGCTGCACGCTTGGCATCTCTGTGAATTGGGAGTAATCTTTTCTCCCTTAATGAGTTTCAAATTGTTCACAAAATAGTCAAACAAATTGACCAAATAACTTTCTAACAGTGGCAGCATTCTAGCGTTAAGTGAAGGAAAGTTGGATGTCCTTAACCAAAACTATGATGTTCTTTTTCTTTCTTTCCATTCTCCTTAAATTCTTTATCCTGTTGAAGGATCCAAGGATCCGGTGTGTCTGCATGCTCTGATGTTGATCAATGAAACCAAACATCTTTCATGCTTGTCAATTTGAAAACTGTTCTTTATTTAATTTATAACTTATAGTTTGAATATCCAACAATTAGCTGAAGATTGTCAATCTGAAAACTGTTCTCTACTTAATTCAAAACTTTTATAGTTTGAATATCCAATAATTAGCTGAAATATTAGCAAAAAGCAAAACATAAAAGAAGAATGTTCACCAAATTTACCTGGTTTTGGCAGGATGTTCACCGAGACTTGTAAGAGGATGAGGATCACAAAGAGCTCGGAAGCTATTGGCCTAGGTATGGCCTATCGAGCATAGTTGTAATATGTTCGTTATTTATGAATCTGTATTTGGATGTGAGTATAAGATTCTAATTCAAAATTGTATCGTCATAGGTAAAGCAGCCAAGTAGATACATAAAACAAATACAGAAGTCCAAAATTTGTGTGAAGGCCAAATATGTAAAGGGTGATGCTGTAAGCCTCTAATAATTCTCAAGTTTAGATCTCATGTTTCCACTTCTCTTAACATGAAAGACTTGTGTAACAAGACAACATTGTAGCAGCTAGTAGGCAACATAGAATATATTGTAGTCCTAGGGTTGCAGATTTTATAAATCTGTCTTCTCCTCTATATTATTCTCTTGATGTAATGTGAATTTTTGTTGCTACTTGGATCAGCTCTTTTCTTCTCTTAATTACTAGAAGAGGCATAATTTGATAGAAAAAAATGTTTAAATAAATAAATTTGTTCTTCATTAACCGGAATAAGGATATATAAATATTATTTAATAGTTATTATATTTTTAGGGTTAATGTTTTTTTATCATTGAAATCAAATTAATTTATCTTTCAATTGAAAAGAAAAATCAAAATTGGCCTTTTGCCCCTTCCCATTCATTTACAAAGATGCTGAGTTTCCAAAATATAATGTATAAGCTTATTCTCCCGTCCTTAAATTGAAAATTGGCGTCAGGAATATACTAATTTGCTGTTACAAAAATCAGTGGAAACAATTTAATAACATCAAGGGGAGAAGAAACAGGGATATAAAGAGATCTGTAGCTGAAAAGCCTGAAATGGACAAAAGGGATTCACTTAGCTTTCCACTTGTGCATTTTCTGTTAATCAACTTTTGGCAGTGATAGAAAATCACGAAATATGCAAGTCAACAAGAAATCACTGTCTGCTCCAAAATCAATTTCTGGTACATGCTTAATCTTCTTCATTGTTGCATGAAGATCATGGAGAATAGAATAAATAAGTCTACATTGGGAATGAGATTTATCACCAACTACAAACACATGGATCCTATTTCCAACTTCAATCCAGCTGCAACCAGGCTGCTTCTTCAATCCCTTGTCCTTCATTTCTAGTCTCAGTTTAGCAGCTTCCCTCCATTTCCCTGTTGAAGCATAAATGTTAGATAACAATGAGAATGTCCCTGCATTCCCTGGTTCTACCTCTAAAAGTTCTTTCGCAGCCAGTTTCCCTATATTTGCATCGCCATGAAAATTACACCCAGCAAGAAGAGCACCCCATACAGAAGCAGAGGGCTTATACCCAAGCCGCTCGATAAAATCAAATGCCTCCTTTAGCCTTCCCGCCCGACCACAGAGATCAACCAAGCATGCATAATGATCCTCTCTCACTTGTATGGACCTGTCTCTCACAAGTTCATCAAAGTACTTCATTCCCTCCTCCACCAAACCAGCATGGCTGCAAGCAGAGAGCAAACCAACATAGGTGACATCGTCGGGTTTAAATCCCAGTTTCTGCATTTCATTGAATAGACTGATTGCTTCTTGTCCATATCCATGGTGAGCATAGGCTGCAATCATACCATTCCAAGACACAAGATCCCTTTGGCTTACTAATCCATCATCAAACATCTTCCTAGCAGTACCCAACTCCCCACATTTTGAGTACATGTTAATAAGTGCTGATACCACAAATTCATTATCTTGATGGACTGATTTGCTAATTATCTGATGAATCTGTTGTCCCTCCCCAAGACCTGCAAGATCACTACAAGCACTCAAAACAGTCACAAAAGTTCCTTGAGTAGGCTTCACCATGCTGTCTGAAAACATTTTCGAGAAAAACTTCAATGCCTCCTCACTTCTCCCATCCTGTATATACCCAGTAATCATTGTTGTCCATGAGATAACATTCTTCTCTGGCATCTCATTGAACAATTTCAAAGCCATATTAAACTCTCTGTTCTGAATAAAGCCAGTAATCATTGTATTCCATGAAGGCAAGTCCCTCTCCGGCATTCTCTCAAACAACTCAAAAGCCTCTAGCGACCTCATATTCTGTGCATAACCTGTTATCATTGCATTCCAGGAAACAACGTTCCTTTCAGGCATCCTATCAAATACCCTTCTAGCCTCATCAATCCTCCCATTTTTGGCCAAACCAGCAACTGTTGCCGTCCAGGAAATCACATCTTTTTTCGGCATTTTATCAAACAGCTCCATTGCCTCATCTATCCTCCCACATTGCGCCAAAGCAGTAACTACTGTGTTCCATGAGACCACGTTCCTATCAGGCATTTGCTCAAACAGCTGAAGAGCTTTATCAACCTTCCCCATTCTGAGCATAGCCATCAATCATAGTATTCCAAGAAACCATATTTTTAACTGGCATTTCATCAAAAAGTTTCTCTGCTTCCACTACCCGTCTTCTCCTCAAATATGCACCAACCATTGCAGTCCACGTGACAACATTCTTCTTGGCATCAACTCTGTTGAATAGCTTTCTTGCTTCTTCGATAAACCCACATCTGATATATCCAGTAATCACCGTAGTCCAGGTAATTACGTCTCTGTCAGGCAATTCATCAAATAGTTTCCTTGCCTGGTCAATCTTGCCTTCTTTGCTCAGCTTTGTGACCAGCCAATTGGATCGAGCCATATTCGAGCTGGCACTGTAATCTTCTCTGGCAATTAATGGGCAACTCAGAGAGTGGTATAACAGTTGGTGATTGCATTGTGTTGCTGAGTTTCTGGATTGAAGATGAACTACGACAGGCAATACTGTGATCTTGATTGATGCTCGTGAAAGTGATAGCATTTGAAGCTTTTCATGCTACTTCCAGTTCCTCCTCGAAATGAAGATTTTTTAAGGGAAAACGAAACTTGACATATAGCTTCAATTCTCTACTTCTCTGTTTATCCAAAATTGCCAGTATTGAGACAATTCATAACTATGGAATAGAGTTGGCACTAGCAATGAGTAGTATAATCACTTCATATCTCATATTTTTGTAGAAAAAAAATTTGAAAGTTAAGTTTATTCAAACTGATCAGAAAAAAAAAAAAACAGCTTATTCAAACAGATTCAGAAAAAACAAAGTTTTCCCGGTTTTAACATGCAATTAAGCTCATCAACAACAATTTTTAGGCATAAGAGCACAGACAGCAATCTTGCATGGCAGCTTATTGTGCAGTGGAATACAAAATTAAAAATTAGCTGATGGCACTCAGTAATCCTAATCCAAAATTACATGCCAGGACAGCAAATGCAAATCTTGTTTCCCTACAATCCCCATCATTTTGATTCCCCTTTAATATCCAGTTTGTGCTTAAGAAAAAGAGAAAAAGACAACCCTCTTCCTGTTTTTTAATAATGAAAGGTCATATACAATCTCTAAGGAATTTTGGATGTTCCGAATATGAGACTAAAACAGAGAAATAAATTGTAATATATGTAGTCCGATATAAATACATAAAACAAAAAGTTGACTAACTAATATAGTTAAGAATAATTTTAATTGATGTGTATTCTATTTAATATACAGTCTTATACATACAGATTTTCTAGAATGAAAAACAGAAAAAGACAATTAACTACAATTGACTAAATACGATGCAATTAACTCTTATACCATTTAATCGAATTTAGTTAATCTATAACACCAAGATTTACTTTCTCTTTAACAATTATATTTTTTAACTTGATCTACTTTTTTTTTTACACTCTAATTTACTTCATTTTTAA